CTTTATTTTACCGGATTTAACATATGAACAAAAAATGCATTGACAAGACCAAAAAAGACAAGAGTTGTTTTATAAGTTGCAAATGATTTTAATGCTTTTGAAGCAATTCTAGAAAAGACATATAATTAGATTTAACATTGTGTTTTCATTTTAAATTAATTTTTGATCTACTTTGTTCGATCATTTGATGTATTGACTGATCGAATATGTGTAGTAAGAAGAAGTTTTCGAAGAAAAATACGACGATTTTTTTCCCAATCATTTGGTTTCATTATAATTAATGATAATGTTGTTAGAAAGAAAGGACCATCAACTTCAAATGCTTCATTTATTAATAAATCAGGACGACTAAGATAATTTTGTAATAATTTTTCTTCACGTTCAATTTGTCAAGTTCTACAAATCAAAATAAGAGAAGAAAAAAAATGAATCCAAAACAATCTAATTTTTTATTCATACGTTGTAAGAACATTAAGAATTGTATGCATTTCATATGGAATCAAACGTATATTTGATTCTCGTCCACCACCACCTGTATCTTCACTAAATGATTGTACATCAGCAAAACGAAGTAATAAAAGTTTTATATCATGAATTGATAATGTTGGTGATGTTTCACGAATACCTGTTGCTTCGATTATATTCGTATCATATCTAAATTAATAAAACAATAGTGTAATAATTATAAGGAAATTTTTTCTCAAAAATATCTTGTCTATAAATACTCATCACAAGTTCTCATATAATCTTTGAGTATAAATAGGTTTAGAATTATAGTCTATGATTACAAGAAAAAACAAACATTTCTGATTTTCATGTAGACAGAAGGACGTATTAGCCTGAATTCTTGATAAGTCTTATGAGAAAAGAAAAATTATCGAATAATACCGAGTCGACTGACCTTCGCTCAAGAAGCACTGAATTTTCGAGTTACAAAATTTAAGGCTTAAGCTATCTACAGATTTAATTCAATAGACTCTACTAATCGACAAACTCAAGCATAATTGGTAGGACCTGATGAGACTAGAAAAAGTCTAAAAGAATAAGCTCCCATAGGTCTTCCTTCCGGAGTTATGGTCGGTTTACTGAGTTTTCGGCCCATGGGAAGGTATTTAGCAAAAATCGAATGACAAAGTTTTGATCTGAAATTTTGCCCATATGTAGATCCCATGATCCTTAGTAAGCACTAAGGACAAAATTTCGTCATTCGATTTTTTTCTAAATACCTTGCCATGGGCCGAAAACCCAGTAAACCGGTCATAACTCCGGAAGAAAGACCTATGGAAAGTTATCCTTTTAGGCTTTTTCTAGTCGTGCCAGGTCCTACTTATGGACAAAATATCACTTCAAAAGTTTTTTATCACTTGGTGGAGTTCCATCGTTAGAACATGTTTTTATTCTACGTCTGAATCTATCCCATACAGAGATGTACGGGAGCAAAAAAACTTTGGTCCCGTGCATCCTTACCCGCGATCCATACTTATCTCTATGCACACAGTTAAGTTTATCCTTATTTTATGTTTTGGAACTACTGAAAAAGACGTACAGGCTCGGCCGTAAATCTACACAGATCAGAAGAGTTTGAACATTTTTTTAACACTCCCAACCAATACGAGAAATCGGTTAGACTCATAAAAATCTAGTATTTCTTTACCGAAAGATTAGTAGACCCAAACTACATTTGAGAATTTTTCTAGACTGATTAAGATCTATTTAGTTTTGGTTTATGTTGGAGATGTTTCCTCGTTAGTAAACAATTTTAATCACATACGAAAAAACAAAAACGAATTCTCAAAATCAAACCTTGCAAGTGCTGTTGTAAATTGTGCTTCAGCAACATCAGGTCCCCATAATGGTAATAAACCATTACAACGTGTATTTGCATTTTGTAATAAAGCTGATTCCCATTCATCTCTTGATCGTGCTTGTTTAATAGCTGATGTATGACATTCAATATGTATAATATTAAAATGTGTTACAGTTGCATAACCAGATGTTTTTCGTGTTTTAGCTTCATATGGTTCAATATCAACTTTTTTTGTAAATGTATAAATAGCTAAAACTTTGTTTGGAAAATATTTATAACCTTCACGACAAATACAACAAACATGACCAGTTTCATCAGTTAAATCACCATGTGATACAGGTGTTTTTGATGCTGTTGCTGATGATTCTGATGCACTTTTGTTTCGTGCTATTTTTGTTAAATTTAATTCACGCATTTTTCTACCACGTGCTTCTTGTGCTAAACGTTTTTTTTCTGCACGTGTTTGATTTCTAACATCATCAATTTTTTTTGCAACTTGTTCATTTTCAGTTAATGAATGTAAAAGATCTTCAGCTAAAACACCAACTTTACCAGCTGTTGTTAATTGTTCAATTTTATGTAAAATTGGAATTAAACTTTGTCCAATTTTCATTTGAATATGTTCATGTCCATATGATAAACCCGTTAATAAACGTAATACATAAGATAAACTTGGTTTATTTAAAAATTCTTTCCAACTATCTTGATCTTGCATACCTAAATATGTTTTAACTTGTGGTGAATTTGATTCAATATAATTTATACATTGATCAATAATACCATTTGATTCATTAACAAGATCACGAAATTCTTTACCATAAACAGATTTTTTATCTAAATGTTTACATATTTCACAAAAACAATCTAAATGTAATTGACTATCATTATCATTTGATATTGTTGTTGTTGATGATGATGTTTGTTCAAGATCAAATCGATCAAATTCTAAATATGATTTAAAATAATCAAGTAATGTTCGCATTTTTTCTTTATTTCCAAATGATAAATATGGTAATAAATGAATAAGAGCTTCCATTAAACTTGGATGAGTTTTAACAAATGGTAATTTTATATAATTAAGTAATGAACGTAATTGTTCAATATCACCTAATACAAAAAAAAAAAAAGAAAAGGCAAAATTCATAATTGTGAAAGAATTTCTATACTCGAAATTATGACTATTGTTTCGTTTATCTTTAATTCTGATTATATAAATAATTTGTCATAAATATAGAAACAAAAACGAGTATTATTAAAACTATAAACAAATATTTATCTTATTTTTTATCCTCCCTTCAAAAGACTTAGTCCGAGCAGCGATCGTTTTGGATTTATTTCAAATCGCCCTTGAAAACTTGTTTTGTTTGCTGACTGCTACCAATTCGATAATTGAGAAGTGTAAGTAGGAAAGATCCAAACCAATAGTCATACCGAATTTATACTGCAGATATATATTTATTCTTTCGATGTTTTCCGTCAATTCTGCATTCCCACTAGAGATGTTCACGCCAGAATTTAAAGAGTGGGTGTAGTCTGAATAACTCGATAACGGCAACAACTATCGACTTGTGGTTTTCAGCAATCGAAAGATGAGAATTTCAGATGTCTCTTTATTTGATACTATATAAAGCAAAGTTATTTTAAAATCTATCATCTTCGCAAAACATGCATGAAAATAGTGTTTCATTGCAATGTAATTTTTGATTTTGACATGTGCTTCAGATCTATAGCTCAAGGAACGACTAGAATAATTATCTTCTCATCTTTCAAAACGAAGCAAACTAAATCTCGGATCTATTTAATCAAATCATATAGGATTTTGTCGATTTTAAGTAAATTTTCTAATTTTTCATCAAAATTTCTATGATACGCAATATCATTTTCATACATTTTTTAAAAATATTTCTTTAAGAAGATGGATTTTTGAAATAATTCTGTCTTATATAGTATCAGACAAAAAGACATTCGAAAATCTCTTCTTTGGATTTCTGAAAACTGCAAGTCGATAACTGTTGCAATTGTCGAGTTGTTAAACTTACACTCACTTCTCTTCAATTCTGGCATAGACATTAGTTAGAGGTAGTTTACCAAAATTGCTATTTTGCTTTCTATAGATACAGTTTTGGACTTCTTAACAAAATTTTACTGATAATTGTTCAATCTTTCCTCAGAAGGAAATTCTGAATACATATTCGGAAAAAGCGAAAAAGTTTGATTTCTAACCAAAAGTAGGTAAGTAGCCGAAAAATGAGTTGATAACTTTCGCACTGCAGATTACTTCTTTTTTGGTAGTACACAGACTGTTAAATCTTTTCTAGTATTATTACAAAAATATGACAACTTTTTTCAATAGAAATGAATGTTCAAAAAATATTGATAAGATCAATAAATAATAACTAACCTTCACATGATACAGAAAATTCATTATATTTATCTTGTGATAATGTTGTACTTGCTTCATGAAATAATTGATCCATAATAAAAAGAAGTTTTTCTGTTAATAATAAAAGTCCTTGATTACGTCCTTGTTCTTCAGTTTCAGTTTTTAATAATAAATTAAGTTTATTTAACATAGATGATATTGAACGTAAATTTGGATCAATTAAACGTTGTCGATTAACTTTAAGTTTAATAGCATATTCAAATAATTTTAATAAAATTTGTAATAATGCTTTTCCTGATGACATATCATGAATTGAATCTAAACGTTTAAGCATAGTTTCTAAACCTGAATGTTCACTAAGAACATTAGCTAAACGATATATATCTTCAGGATCATCTTCACCATTTTCATTAGCATTTTTCTTTGTATCAAATGTTTCAATTATATCTTCTGTTGCATTATTTAATAAACCACGGATACAATAAACAATATGCATAGGTTCATGTTCATTTTGTGATGGAGAGTATGGGTGTGGTGTAGAAGTGAGCAATTGTCGAAACCCAACAAATACCCACACCCACACCCACACACCTAAACCCACCCCACCCCACACCCACACTCACACCCACACCCTGAATCGGGCGTTTCCAAAAGCCAAGCCTATTGAAGCTGGCTAAAAAGGTACCCCATCGGTAGAGCTGATTACGATCTACTTCATAACTTTCACCTAGTTGTTGGAAAGTGCTTTCGAACGAATCCTGCAAGGTTTTGCAGAAAAGCCTAGGATGCCGCTAGTTTTTTGCAGACTTCGTAGGCCCAGCACCATCTGATTCTTTTTAAAAGGTATCCAATTGGTAGAGCACGTCAGATTCCATTAGGAAAGTAATGTATTAGAGTTGGAGACAACTCTAGGGCGATTCGCTACGCCTTTTATGGAAAAATTGGCCAATTGGGCTCTGAATCAGGCATTTTTGTGCGAAGCGAAGCATCGAATTAAGTTCTAAAGGTGTCGATTCGATAGATCTCGTTCAGATCTATTTGGAAAGTTATATATCTCAGTTGAAAAGCACTTCTGGACGAATCGGTTCGGGTTTTATTGAAAAACTGAACAATTGGTCTCCGGATTAGGCGTTTTTCTGAGAAGGGAAGCATCGAATCAAGTTCTAAGGGTGTCCACTCGATAGATCTCGTTGAGATCTATTTGAAAAGTCATATATCTCACTTGGAAAGTACTTCGGGACGAATGGTTACGGGTTTTATTGAAAAACTGAACAATTGGACCCCGGATCAGGCATGTTTCTCAGAAGGGAAGCATTGAATCAAGTTATAAGAGTGTCCACTTGATAGATCTCGTTGAGATCTATTTGGAAAGTTATATATCTCACTTGGAAAGTACTTCGGGACGAATGGCTACGGGTTTTATTGAAAAACTGAACAATTGGACCCCGGATCAGGCATTTTTCTCAGAAGGAAAGCATTGAATCAGGTTCTAAGGGCATCCACTCGATAGATCTCGTTGAGATCTATTTGGAAAGTTATATATCTCACTTGGAAAGCACGTTTGCACGAATGGTTTCGGGTTTTATTGAAAAACTGAACAATTGGACCCTGGATCAGGCCTTTTTCTCAGAAGGGAAGCATCGAATCAAGTTCTAAGGTTGTCCATTCGATAGATCTCAACGAGATCTATTTGGGAAGTTATATATCTCAGTTAGAAAGCACGTTTGCACGAATGGGTTCGGGTTTTATTGAAAAACTGAACAATTGGGCCTCGAATCAGGCCTTTTCCTCAGAAGGAAAGCATCGAACCAAGCTCTAAGGATCTTCATTCGATAGATCTCGTTGAGATGTACTTGGAAAGTTATATATCTCGGTTGGAAAGCACTTCTGGACGAATCGGTTCGGGTTTTATTGAAAAACTGAACAATTGGACCCCAGATCAGGCATTTTTCTCGGAAGGAAAGGATTGAATCAAGTACTAAGGGTGTCCATTCAATAGACCTGGTTGGGATCTATTTGGAAAGTTATATAACTCAGTTGGAAAATAGTCCTGGACGAATCGCTTCGGCTTTTATTGAAAAACTGAATAATTGGGCCCTGGATTAGACGTTTCTCTGGGAAGGGAAGCATCGAATGAAGCTCGAATGGTGTCCATTAGATAGATCTCGTTTAGATTCAGTCGGGAAGTTATATGTTGGACTTGGAAAGTACTCCTGGGCGAGTCTCTTCAGGTCTTAAGAGAAACCTAGGATGGGACCTGTGATTGGCCGTTTTTGAAGGGAAGGGTTTATCAAATTGAGCTCCAAAGGTGTCCAATCGATAGAGCTCGTCGAGATCTACTTGAAAAATTGAATTATTTCGCTGGAAAGTGCATTTGAGCGAATCGCGACAATTATTGTTTCAAAAACCTGGTTTCTGGTGCGAATTGAAAATTTTGAGGGCGAGAGGAGTATGGAACGGAGCACCAAAGATGTGCATTCGATAGAGCGCGTCAAGATCTACCTGGAAACTCAATGATTAAGTTGGAAAGCATTGGTGGGCGAATCACGACAAGTTTTTCTAGAATTGTTTGCATTTTACACGTTTTTTTGATGATATTTGAGGATTTTTGCAGTTTGAGTGGGGGCTAGAGAGAAATGAATTATGTGGTTGGATAGAGCTCGTCGAGTTCTACTTGGAAAGTTATTAGACTATTTTGGAAAGTTTTCTGAAGCGAATTCTTTCAGGAAATACTCGAATCCTGACCTAAGATATCCTACGTATAGATATGTTGCATGTCCATACTTTATTCATATTGATGTTAAAATTTGAAGGAAAAAAAAGTAGATTTCTGATATCTGGTTTCTCATCATTATTTTGAATTACACGCAGATATGTTGCATATATATTTTTATTCATCTTGATGTTAAAATTTGAAAGAGAAAAAAAGTAAATTTCCGTTATCTGATTTCTCATGGTAATTTTGAATTATAGATAGACATGTTGCATATGCGTTCTTTATTCATATTGATGTTAAAATTTGAAAAAAAAAACTAAATTTCTGATATCTAGTTTCTCATGGTAATTTTGAAATATACATAGATATGTTGTATACACATACTTTATTCATTTTGATGTTGAAATTTGAAAGAAAAAAAAGTAGATTTCTGGTATTTGGTTTCTTGCAAGAAACTTGATGTGTACACAGACTAAATTTCTGATTTTATCAGGGAAAATCAGACATCAGACTTCAGATATTTAGTTAAAACTGGTAATAATTTGAGATTTGCCATGCCCTCGTTTTTGAAGGCATAACCTATGTAAAAATTCTACCACATCCAAAAATATTAGATTATGAATAGATATATTCAGAAAGAAGATTAGAATCAAAGGCCTTGTTGCCAGAAAAAAAATATATAATGAGAGGACTTTCTGCCAGAAAAAAGAAAATAGAATCAATGAACCTTCTGGCAGAAACCGAAAATCAATGACTGCACCTTCTGACAGAAACAGAAAATAGAACGAACGGCCTTTCTAAGAGGAGCGAACTGTAGCGATGAAAGAAAATTTTCTTGACGACAAGATGTTATAATCAGAATGTTTTTATAAAGAAAAAGCAGCTTAATTGATTTTCTGTATATCCACTATCATTATAAAATAGCAAATTGTTAAAGAAAACATAGAAAAAAGTTTCACAGAAACAACTTTTACTTTTTAAATTTTGGTGGGGGCAAGCTCCACCAGCCCCTCCCTAATCGGACCCTCTAACTATGAGCCTTATCTATGAGTACAATATGAGCTTGAACGGAAGCTATCAGTTGGATATGTTCCCTCGTCAGCAATGAAAACGTAGATTTTATTTTACATGTTTTTTTTTTGAAAATTTGTTTAAAACTTTAAATTGGAGAAAATAATCGAAAATTTTTATTTTCATTTTTTTTATATATAAATACTCATGTTTCATTGGAAATGATCTTTTTAATGACAGTATTCTTTTCATTAATATTGATAAATATGCATAAAATCAACGGCAAACAAACTGATTTCTAATGCTAGAAATGTAAAAAATCAGCTTGTATTCTCATGGTATAAAGTTAAAATTCCTCTATCAACGTTTAAATCAGTGGCGGAGCCAGGGTGGGCCAGATGGGGCTGAGCCCACCTATGGATCTTTGAGCCCCATCTAGTGAGATTTTGGGAAAATAAATCTCATTATACAAAAGTGTTTTGGTGTTCATAATTCAGATTTTCACGTATATATCTAATTTTGGAGAACTGATATGCCTTTGAATAATAGAAAATACAGTCAATACAAATACAAGCTTCAATCAAGTTTTATAGGTTATGAATACCTTATTTTAACTTTATAGAAGACTGCATTGATTCTTTTTTATTAGAATACAGTGATTTCTGTTGTTGTAAGGAGAGAGAATGAAAATTCATTACGTTTTGGAAGGTTGTATTGATCATTTTAAAAATATTTTGTTCTTGCTGAACTCATAAAATATGTTACATAGATTATAATTTAAAATTACCAATGTAAAATAAAATACATAAATGTAAATATAAATGTATAACAATAGATATATCATAATTGGGATGTGGGTGTGGATGTGTGTGGGTGTGGGTGGATGTGGGTGTGGGCGTGGGTGGGTGTGGGTGTGGGTGTGGGTGTGGGTGGGTGTGGGTGTGGGTGTGGGTGTGGGTGGGTGTGGGTGTAGGTGTGGGTGTGGGTGGGTGTGTGGGGTGAGGGTGTGGGTGTGGGTGTTGGAATACCGGTCACCCACACCCACACCCCACACTCCACAACCACACCCACACCCACACACCCATCTTACGCTTCGCTTTTTCTTGGAAAATATATTTGAGGTCCATAAAATCTCTACTTTTTAAGAAGTTCATCATTTATTGCTTTAGATACTAGTCCTTTCTATAATGCATGTCGAAATAATAATATTGATTTGGTTAAAAAATATTTACAAGAAATGTCATTAGAAGAAATTAATAAATTAGAACCGAATGGATCTACTGAACTCCATGTCGCTGCATATCGAGGACATGAAGAAATAGTTGAACTATTACTACAAAAAGATGCTTGTTATACAACAGTGAATAAATATAATTGTACTCCATTGGATGAAGCTAGAACTGATAGAATAAAGCAGATGATCCGTCGCCGTATGAATAAAACTCGTTTTATTAGTGAATCCATCGAATGGATTCTACAGACAGACAAGGCAGATTTTCAAGCACATCAATATTGGACAAAATTGGAAACATATGGACGAGATCCACAATTTCATAAATTGATTGATTATATAAAAAGAAACTATCTTGAAAAAGATTTACAAAGTATTGAAGATATTGATACAGTTATAAGATATTTTAATATCGCGATCGACAAAAGAGATCCTGTTTATTTATTACAAGCCTATACAGCTGAAACTGGTTTCTATTCTACACTTAATGTTCATCTAACTCAAATACGTCTAGAAAATTTAACTGATAATGAAAATCTTAGTCGAGCATATTATATTGGAATAATTGCACGTCATCCAAAATTCGAAACATTTTCGTATACTGGAGAAGCATATCGTGGTATGATGATCACTAATAATGATTTAAAACAGTACGAGATAGGTACACGAATTTTAACTAAAACATTTTCATCTTCATCAAAACGATTGAATATAGCATTGGGATTTCGTGATGATAAGCGTCATACAGATGATCGATTAAGTACAATATGTACATATGAGATACGTAATCAAAGAACTGCATTAGATATTCAAGATATATCATTATTTCAATATGAAGAAGAAGTTTTAATTTTACCTTATTCAGCATTTAAAATAATTGACATTCAAATAAATAAAGACAAATCACCTAACGTTGAAATAAAATTAAAAGAATGTGAACCATGGTAAATATTCATAGTGATTGAAACTGAAATTTGACGATAATTTATTTCCTTATTATAATATAATCAATAAAAGAAAATAAAAATAAATGAAAAAAATTACATTTGACAGAAATAACATAATTTAGTATTGATTTAAGATAGATTTGTTATAGAAGGATGTCGATGTGGGTGTTAAACAAAAAGCCCCACATCCTTACCCGATAATAAATGAAAGATAGAAAGCGAATTAGTTGTTACTCCTACCCCTGAAAGAAAGTGAAGAACAAAAAAGAACAACTAATAATTGACAATGGACAAATCTTAGAGAAGTGCGATCGAAAAAAAAAACTTCAACATAGACTGTTCTTATTTATTTAAGCAGTTTTTCGTGTTCATCATCAATCATGTGCAAGATAGATCAACAATCACATCGTCTAAATAACATCATTATTAGCAAAATGAATGCAGCTAATCATTGAGAATTTAATCAAATTTATTCAAATATTTGACCACATAATCTCTAAAAAGCCACTCACTACCGTCATCTTTAAGAAGTGATATATTAATTTCGTCGCTGTATGCATTTTTTGATATATGATGGTGAATTTTTCACCAGTGAATTTTTTTCCTGTTCTGTTCATATATACACACTGTGTCTAAACTGGAGAAGTATCTCAGATGCATCTTACTGAGTCTATATGGTGTCGTAAATTTGGAGATCGACTTTTTGAGAATTTTGTTCGTCATATTCGAATGTTGTATTCTATGTTTTGATTGTGCTCGTAACTTATGGACTTGTATATTTGCACATATGTTCTATTAAATTGTTTTCTTGTTCAATTATTCATGACATCTTTCTCTCTTTCTTGATCAATGGTTACACATTTCTCCAATAGAATTTCGATCCTTTCCTGTCATTGTTGACCGAGGCTATGTGTATTCCGTATATGCTAATTAAGGAGGCAGTGCATAACGTGTGGAAATACCAACTCTTCAGCTAAGTTCGATAGTATTCGCAAATAAACATTTTCAGACATGAATCTGAATCTAATTCTAGATTGATACTTCAGACAAATAAATCGAGAACAAAGAAACATGGCTGATGGATCACTCCAAATGAATGATCGTGAATGGGAAATAATGCTGATTCCTCTGAAGTTTACGTGGCAACCCACAGAAGATGAATTGATCTATCTAAAAAAGTTAGTCTGTCTTCGAATGAAGCAGCGAGAGCTGATACCATTCAAACAGCAAGATTATATCAGTCCATCGGTGATCATGGACGGTTTCCTGTATCATGGCGATTTGAAACACGCAATGAACAAAACATTACTTGGAGAACTCGATATTCGACGTATCATCAATGTGTGTGATTGCCCATTGGAACAAGACATTCTTGATCAACGTCATGTCTTATGGATCAATTTGGACGACGATACATACACCGATATTGCCCAACATTTCGAGTTGACAAATGAATTCTTGCAGTCCTGTAAGGCAAAAAGCGCAAAAGTACTAGTTCACTGTCAGATGGGCGTTTCTCGCTCGTCCTCAATCGTTCTCGCCTATCTAATGAAGTAAAACTTTTCCTTTGGCTTCGAAATCGTTCTCGTTTTCTCGATCTAGGTACCATCATGATTCTCTGAACAAAGCCTATGATTATTTGGTCGAACGAAGACGTTGTGCTGAACCCAATCTTGGCTTTCTCCTACAACTGATTCGATACGAGCGTAAATTACGCAAGACAAATGAGATTGCCCGAGGGCAGAACACTCTCGAGAAGAAAAATACGATCGAAACATCTGATGCGATCAAAAATTCGGTAGCTTTAATTAATCCAACTGGCGAACTGGCGAAGACGAAAACAGCACAATCAAAGACAAAGAGACAAAACAGTGTTTTATCCAGAGATGTGTCTGGGTGGACGGCACTCCCCCGAAGATCGAGTTCGTCTCATCGTCCCTGGAATTTGTGGCCATTATGCCGCGAACTATGTTGTTGGCCCCTCGGGAATACTCGATCGCCCCTTCCGAGTTTCAAATTACCCCTTCGGAGGAGAGAACCTGCATAAAACACTGAGACACAAGTAAATCCGTCCCAACAATAGAAAATCTGAGTCTTCTATTGCGTCTGAGCGTTCAAAGTTTCTAGAGGAATGTTGTGCATATACACAGGAATAGAGAAAAATGTGTTAATGGAAACGATACTTATCGAAAATCAGATCCAATATGAGATACATCGACATTAAAAAGATGAAATGAAAGGACATTTCGCATCACTGATCAAATCCTTCCAGTGGAAGCAATTCACAATTGGGCATTAAATGAAAACTGTATGTTAAAAGTTACAGATCGCAACCACAAAAAAAATCAAGAAAAGTTTAAGGGTGTGGATGTGAGTGTGGGCGTGGGTGTGGGTGTGGGTGTGGGTGTGGGTGTGGGTGTGGGTGTGGGTTTGGATAAATTGAAGATTCACATCCACACCCAC